AAAATAATATATATATATATATATATATATATATATATATATATATATATATATATATATATATTATTGACATAATTTTCGAAAAAAATAAATTTTAATACTACAACATATCAGGAAAATTTCGACATAATTTTATTTAAATTTCAAATATATAAGTAATAATTTATAATAGTCTAAAATAGAATGATGGTACATTTAAAGAAAATCATAAAAATATAAATGGAAGACAGAAAAAAAAAAAAAAACTGAATTATTATAACTTATAATATATATATCTATATATATATATTTATATAAAAGTGAGGACGAAGCGGGGTGGGGAATAATCTCCCCATTCATTCTCTCGTTCTTCATTTAAACTGAGATTTCTTATGGGACGAGGGGCCTCCACGGACCGACGACCCTCCCGAGAGGTATAGGTAAAGGGATTGATATGAGATTATTGATATTTTGAAAAATAAAATTCCAAAAAAGGAAAAGGCCTAATAAAGAAATTTCTTTTGAAAAAAAATAGAAAAATGAAAAACATGGAAACCGCGCGAAACTACTTACACTAAAACGTCGATGATGAGCGACATGTTATCGTAGCCTTACCAAAACGAGAAAGTGGGTTCGTGAAGCAAGGGGCACCGATCGGATGAGATCCATCGATCAGGTTTGACATTCCGTTTTCCAACTTCTTTTTCGTCTTTTATTTTGAAATTTCTCCATTCCTTAATGAAAATTTCCCCTTAATTTTGGGTATCTCTTGTTAGAATCGTTCAATCTATGAAGGAATAATAAGTTTTTGTTGTAATCCTCTGTTCTATTTCGAAAGAATGAAGGATCAAAGTTGCAGAAGGATGAGATTGGAGATTCATAACATTGTTCTTTTCTTTTTGGTGCGTAGAAATAAATAATACTCACGGGACAACGAGCTCGACGGGTAGAATGCAGCAAGGAAATTCTGATTCGTCCACCCCACCCAAGAAATCGAAGAAACCCAAATGTTATATCTTTTATCTTATTCTAGTTTTTGTTGGTTTTGTTCGTCTCCATTTTTATGTTCTCGTATACGATCTGTTCTTTCGAGTATAATGCATGAAAAGCTCTTCTGTGGAACAGTTTTTTGGTTTTTGCTTCTGGTTCTGAATCCATGTTTGTGTATCTTTGCATTACAATCGTTTTTAATGCAATCCTTCCAGCCATTCGTATGCCTCGTTCTCGTGTTATGGCGTTCTGTATTCTGTTTTAGAGGGTGACTTCTTTGTTGATTGTTAATGGCTATTTGTTTTTTTTTTAATACGATCTGTTCCTCTCTATGATTTAATCTCTTGGAATTTCTTCCTCCTTTTCTGGGCCGTGTTTCGTGAGAAACACACCTATGGAGCAATTTTTTGTTTTGTTTTTGTGTTTCTATGTGAGATCCCACCTCGGCTGGGAAGGAGAACTAAACATTTTTTATAAAAGTGTGAAAACCTCTCCCTAGCCGACAGCATTTTAAAAATCTTGAGGGGAAGCCCAAAAAGAACAATATTTGTTAGCGGTGAGCTTGGACCATTATAAATGGTATCAGAGTCAGACACCGGCGATGTGTCAGCAAGGAAGCTGAGCCCCCAAAGGGGGTAGACATGAGGTGATGTGCCAGCAAGGACGCTGGGCTCTGAAGGGGTGTGGATTTGGTGGGGAGTCCCACATCGATTGGAGAAAGGGAGTGCCAGCGAGGATGCTAGGCCCCGAAGGGAGGTGGATTGAGAGATCCCACGTCGGTTGGGGAGGAGAACGAAACACATTTTATAAGGGTGTAGAAATCTCTCCCTAGCAGACGTGTTTTAAAAACCTTGAAGGGAAGCCCAACAGGAAAAACCCAAAGAGGACAATATCTGCTAGCGGTGGGCTTAGCGGAGGGCTTAGCGGAGGGCTTGACTGTCATTCTAAGTCTGAATTTATGTACATGCATCTTTGCATTATAATCAAATGCGTTCCTTCTAGCCATTCACATGCTTCGTTCTTATGGCGTGGACTTCTGTATTTCTCATTAATGTAAGGTCGATTCAATTGGCAATGCTATAGCCATTTGGTTGATGTTCATACATTTTTGTTAATTCCCTTGCAGATTCTAGATTTACACAGCAAGAACTTCCTGCTTGCAAACCAATTCTAACACCAGGATGGGTAGTCCTATAAAAAAAATTTGAATTTGTTTTTTGCTCAAGTCCCTGTTTTAGCATTATGCACCATTTTTATTAGTGTGACTATTTGATTTCAGGTTATAACATCCTTCGTTGCTGTTGGCATTATCTTCATCCCCATTGGCATTGCTTCCTTATTTGCATCAGAACAAGTACTTTCTCGTCTGCCCCATCCTCGTAAATTTGATACAATGCAGTTTTTATTTATTAATTTATTTTTGGACTTTTAAATGCCTAACTTGAATATGTGATTTCCATGATACTCAGGTTGTTGAAATTGTGGACCACTACGACCTTGAATGCCTTCCTCCTGAGTATCTCAGCGATCCTCTTACGTTTATTAAAAACAGTAAAACTAATAAAACCTGTAGTAGGAGGTTGACTGTAAGTACAATTTCTATTCTCACTGTTGGAAACCATATTGGATTTTGGTTTATTTCGTGTTTGTCTCTTAATTTGTCTGTCGTTAGGAGTTTTATCAGCTGAATTCTTTTCAGGTTCCTAAACCAATGAAAGGTCCGGTTTATGTCTACTATCAGCTTGATAACTTCTATCAAAATCACCGCCGGTATGTGAATGTTTTTGTTTGGTTGTTGACAAAACAGTTTGTTGAGTCTTGAATATGAGCCCTGCTGTTTATTTCATGATTTGTGAGTTTATTAAATTATGTGAATTGCCTCAAATTCTCGATATAACTTATTAAAGTAAAGAAGAGCTTGGTTTAATTTGTTAAAGTAAAGATATGAAAATTGCATTTTAAGGAGGAAACTGGTGGAAATAAGCCAAGCTGTTCTCAGTTTACAGTCTTGTTTTAAGTTTATGTCTTAATTTACCTACAAGACAACTGGAAGTTAAGGAATTTATTCAGACATATCTTCGTTAGATGTTACTCCTAATAAAAACTCTTGTTGTGTAGTTATATTTTTATTATTGCTGTGTTGCCTTCATTTGGTTTGCCCAGTGTATTATTATCTTGTTTCACTTGCGTCATGCATTTCTTATTGATGATGGTATCATTATTTCTATGAGATGGAGGAAATTGGTACAAGCAATTAAGATGTGTTTATTTTATGAGGCGGCTTTCCGCTACAAGGAAGAACTGGGTGTATTCTTAAAGAATCTCTATGAATAAGAATAAGGCTCAGAAGGGGGGATGCCTTTATCTTCTCTTTCATTTGTATTATTATTTTTTTTAACTTTTTTTTTTCCTACGGAAGTAAAAGGTAAAAATTGTTAGGCTAAAAAATATTGTGCACCTTTTGAAATCGTTTATCCTTGTACTTCCAAGTCTTCAACAGCTTTTTCTATTCTTTTTCTTCCATTTGAACATATTTTTCTGTTGTTTTTGACGTATGAAACATTATCAGTTATGTAAAAAGCAGAAGTGATAAACAATTACGAAGCAAGGCAGCTGAAGCAAATACAAAAACATGTGCACCAGAAGCGACCATTGGGACAGGGGATCCAATTGTCCCTTGTGGCCTCATTGCATGGAGTTTGTTCAACGACACGTATGGTTTTTCCTTGAAGAACAAGGTACTTCCCGTCAGCAAGAAGGACATTGCCTGGAAAAGTGACCAAGAAAAAAAGTTTGGATCTGATGTCTATCCTAAAAATTTCCAGAGTGGAAGTTTGATTGGTGGTGCAAAACTAAATGCGAGCATACCAGTGAGTATGCTTAATCTACCTTCTACCCTCTTCGTCGATGCTGTTAGATTACAGTACTGTTTACCTCCTCTTCATTGCATTTCCCCTTTTTCTTTCTTTTCTTTTTTTTTTTTTTCTTTTTTTAGTGGATAAACATGCTTCCATTTTTGTGTGTAATAGCTGAGCCAGCAAGAGGATCTTATTGTTTGGATGCGAACAGCTGCATTGCCCACCTTCAGGAAACTATATGGGAAGATAGAAGCAGACTTTGAAGCTAATGATATAATAACAGTGGTGATAGAAAACAACTATAATACTTATAGCTTCGGTGGTAAAAAGAAGCTGGTCCTTTCAACCACCAGTTGGATTGGTGGGAAGAATGATTTTCTAGGCATAGCTTATCTTTGTGTTGGAGGACTCTGCTTGTTTTTAGCAATAACCTTCATACTCCTTTACGTCATCAAGCCAAGGTGAGCAAATTAATCTTCTAAGCATACAGATAACTGCAATTTAGGGAAAGATAGTCACTTGAATCAAATTTATAGAATATGACGAATGCAACTGCCCCTGTTCTTTATTTTGAATACCATGAATTAGTGCTTCCATTTTCTTCATGTTAACTGTCCTATTAGACTGGATAGTTGGTACTTTAGGATGACTACTGTAGTTATTATGAAACCTACATATGTTTTTCCTTTGATAATTGCACTACCACAAATAGGTAACTACATTAACCCTCCTCTTCATCCTTCTTCCTCTCCCTTTCTCATATTCTCTCTCGCATACCTTTTTCCGTATAACTCCTCGACGTTGTTTCTTTACTTTTCATTTTTGATGGCACAGAGTGGGTATGGTCAAGTATCGGAAAAGAGGAATCTTCAACCTGTATGAGATTTTCTCTATTGGAAATTGTTGTCATTGTGCAAATGAAGACGTGTTTGTGGGTTCTCATGGCTAGAAATTCTGTAGGATAACCAGAGCATAATGGATTCATGTGGATACAAAAGTGCATGAATAAAAGAGGAGCCCGTGTTGAAATTCCTTAAATAACCTTATTATTGATGAATTCATCTCTAGCTCCTATTCTAGGAAAGTGTTTATTGTGGAACTAAATGATTTTAATTAAGTCTAAGCGTTCTGAATTGTCATCTCTTCTTTAATTATAAGTAGTTCGACATTTAATCACAGTCGTTTCTTTTACTGGATTGTCATGCAGGCCTCTTGGTGATCCATCCTATTTGTCCTGGAACAGAAATCCAGCAGGGCAGTTAAGCTAAGCATCTCTTCTGCACCAAATTCTCTTCTAATGCTCAATGGTTTAAGGCAATAGAATGAGGGGAGGAGGTCTAAAGGTGTTGAAAGCTACTGGTATTAAAGAAGCCTACTTTATTTTTCTGGTAGCTTAGACTTTGGTTTATAATATATGTATATCTTTGGACCGTGTCTCGTTTACTGAATTCACAGATGAAAACGATTCGATGTAAGCTCAATATCAAGGTGGGGAAATGAAATTTATAATCTCCTCTTTTGTTAAAAAAAGCTGGGGATTGAGGGTGCTACCCTTGCTTTGCTATATTATTATAAGCAAAAAAATTACAAACTTAGATCGAATTTGAATAATTTTGTTTGTAATCTTCGAGCCAAACAAATTTCGAAGTACAAGAACCAAAATTATATTTTAAATCGATTGCTTAACACTTCAAAGGGTCAGATAAATCATAGAGCACTTGTATTACTTAAACATAAGAGCCTCATGCTTATGGCAGAAAAAGGAATAGAAGGCACCAAAATGCTTCTAAAGGAGCTCTTAAACAAGGAAAATTACTGATATCAAACCCACAGCAAACACTAATAACAAGTAGTTTACTTCAAAAGGAAAAGCTAAGTTGGAGTAAAGTGTTTGATTCAAACCCTCCATATGTGAGTCACTATACACAGAGAACAATAGAGAAATAGGATGATGAATCCCTCATCAAAGAAGCCTCTTAGAGTTTGAGCGTGAGATCAGGCGTCGAGTCTTCTACGTCCTCCAACGACACTTTATCCATTGAGCTTATTCTTGAAATACCAGTTAGTATGAAACTTGGTTGAGTTAGTTCAGGAGTGTTTCTAGTTTCTGCCATTGGACGAAAACTACCTGGCCACATAACCTCCGCTTCATCGTCGTCCAAGAAAATCGGCATGCCTATATGACCCGGTTCGAATCTAGCACTGCTTCCGATATCAGTAGGCTTCATTGGTGCAGTAAATCCATGAAGTAGTGAAGAGTGTGCTTTGATCCCCAAGGACCTGAATGATGACCCTTTCAATGGTAGAGATGCTAGATTTGCATATCTTTCTGCTAGAATCCCCATACGCATTGCCCGTTTCGCCAAGGTTCGCTCGCGCTTATGCGCATTCTGGTGCCCGCCAAGAGCTTGTGAACTAAAGAACTTGCGCTGACAGAAGTTGCAAGAAAACACTCTTGGGATAGCAGCAGCTGCTGTGGGGTGGCAAGATGGTTCATTGCTACTCTCACTTGTGCTTGACAAAGAAAATCCTGTCGAATCCCGAGTTTCGAGATCTTCGATGTTAAAGTTGAGAGTCAAGTCGAGGCAAACCGACTTGAATCCTGGTTGAGCAGCAACGGGGTTAGCAAGAAAGGAGTTAGTTATGAGGCTATTATCATCAGAATTTTCATGGAGGGAAATGTTGGAAGCAACTTGGCTACTTATGTCAGAATCAATTGCCAAAGAAGGCTCCTTTTCAAGGTCAAGAAATGGTTTCATAATTGAGTGCTGTGTTGGTAGCAATCAGAAGCTATACTTTACATTTAGACATGCCCAAAACTACAAAGAGCTACCCCAACTGCTCCCTGCGCAATGTTCAACAGGACACCATCAGCATTCTCCATTTCATTTCAGTGCTGTCTTTAATTACTCGTATAATCCCAGAAATTATCACATCCCATGATGCCAAAATCAAAGTCTATGAATATGTATTTTGTTCATCTTTTTTCTTATCAAGAGCTTGTTTGCTGAAAAGGGTCAAGAAAGTACATGAAATATGATGTTATTTTGGAGGTTCATGGTAAAACAAACTTGGTAAAAACCAAAAGGAAAGCAAAGAAATGGCTAATCACTTCATCTTTGTTCTTATAAAGACATGAACAGAGTAGAACCCAGAAGATCAAGCCTCAAAAACAATTCAAGAAGCCTTAGATTTTATCAAAACCAGAAAAGAAACAAACTGTTCACAGAAGAATGGATCAAACTGTCCCTAATCTGCAAACTCACCAAGAACAATGAAAGAAAGGAGGGAGATTCATACCATGTCAAGAACAAGAAAAACCAGAAGAAACCCAGCTAGCTAACTGCAGATTCTTGAACAAACAGTTGTGAACACAGAAGATCAGAGATTGAAGGCAAATAAGAGATCATGGGAAGTGGACAACAAGAACAGAATAGAGAAATTGTGGCTCAATTGGTGTTGTTTTGAGTATGAAAAATGGTTAAAGGAAAGATCCTGAAACAGAGTCCACTGCTCAGTTTCTGGTTTTATATCAAAAATGGTTAAAGGATGAAGAGGCTTATTATTTAATCACTCCCAAGAAGGTTCCAAGTAGCTTAAGCTAAGTTTTGAGAGAGAAAAGGAGAAGCTTAAACTAAAATAAACTGTATGTAAGGAAAGGTAGATTTATTCTTAAGCTAAAAGCAGACCATATCTATTACAATATACCCTGAAAATGCTCTCCATTGTCAATAGCCACGGACCAATGTAACTCCAAATTTTTGGGAGAAAACATTTGAGGTGAGATTCCACGTCGGTTGGGGAGGAGAACGAAACATTTTTTATAGGGGTGGAAACCTCTCCCTAAAAGATGCGTTTTAAAAACCTTGAGAGAAAGCCCAAAAAAGACAATATCTGCTAGCGGTGGTGGGTTTGAGCCGTTACAAATGGTATTAGAACCAGGCTTCGGATGATATGTCAGTGAGGAGGCTAAGCCCTGAAGGGGGGTGGACACGAGACAGTGTGCCAACAAGGACACTGGGATCCGAAGGGGGTGGATCGGAGAGTCCCACATCAATTGAAAAAGGGAATGAGTGTTAACAAGGATACTAGCCCCAAATAGGAGTGGCTTGTGAGATTCCAAATCGATTGGGGAGGAGAACGAAACATTCTTTACAAGGAGGTGGAAACCTCTCTCTAGCAGCCGCGTTTTAAAAACCTTAAATGGAAGCTGAAAAGGAAAAACCTAAAAAGGACAATATCCGCTCATAGTGGACTTGAATGTTACATTTAATTAGTTTATTTCAGTAATGGGGATCTAATTTAATATGAAGCCCTCTCCACCCCATCATCATTTTGAAGCCAAATAGGCTATAAAGGCAAGCCTATTAAGTAGGCACTAGAAGGCCTAAGCACATGTTTAAAGAGGATTCCTCTCTCTTTCTTTCTCTCTATCTTTTGTAGAACCTATACAAACAAAACAAAACAAAACAAAACCAAAAAAAAACTAAACCTTTCATTGGTTGTCGATGCACAAAATTCAAACTTTTTTGAAGAACAAACACCCTCAACTGAATGCTGACTTCGATTCTCACATATCATCATCTTCCACGTGAGTTTGTGCATATCTGAATGATCCATTGCATATCAAAACAAAAGGGAATGATCAAAAAAAAAAAAAGAAGCAAAAACTCAATGAAACAGTGTTGCCTTTCTCGAGAGAACAGAATATTACTTTTATAATAGCAGAGCCAATCTCCCCCTTCCATCTCTCTCCCACACCTGCAAACAAAAGGAAAGAAAGGGAAAAAAAAAGGGTTGTTTTATATATCAGAGTACTCTTTTGTCTAAGCCATGGCAGCTTCCGACAGCTTTGCCTTTGCGCCGCTCAGCACAGGTACCAAGACAGCGCTGGTCCGTCTCAGCTGAGTGCCCCTGGTGAGCACCTTCTTGGTTGGTCCCCTCCACCACTACTTGGCACTAACAGTTGCAGTGAATCTCTGCTATATTATAAGGTGTTATAATGATAATTTGAGTCACCAATTCAATATTAAACTCTTACTTAATTCAAACCCACTATGTTTAGTGATTCCTTTCTTTATTCCCACTGCTTTTCATTTGTTTTCTTTAATCACCATTCAGCATTTATGCATACATATAATACATATATGTTTGGATTCTTTTAAGGCATTATATCCCATATGATTTCCCTAAATTCTTTTGCTTTCGGTGTGATCATATTCGTCGATATCTAGAGTTCACTTCTGACATGTTCGTTTCTTTCAATGTTCCCTAGTGTTGAAACTGCTAACTTCCTTATCTGGTTCCTACGATTTCTAGAGATCTGGAGTAATGGTTCGAAATTTGAAGAGTTTGTAGATTCCTATATTCTACCACATGTGAGACAAACGATAAGAACAAGAGTTAACAAGTAAAAGGAGAGAGAAAGTGATAGGTAATAGACATTATACAAAATTTGGAGTCGGGAGGGTTTTCTAAGAATAGCTTGACATCATGAATCAAAAGAAGCAAAAAAAAAAAAAACATGAAAGGACCTTCTTAGAATGAACAGCTTTCTAAGAATGGTGGAAGATGCTCGAACACCTTTAACCATTTGATTTTTATTTAGTTTAGTATAACATGGGGAGACGAAATTACATACATCTACGTTTTTGGTCAAAAATATATTTTTTGACCAACTAGGCTATGTTCAAGTTGACAACGATTATCACCGAGCCACCTGATACGACACATCAAAGAAAACATTGAACAGAACACGAAGCAACTCACCTTTCTTTTTTCTTTCCAACCATTCGATTTCTTGTACACTTTTCCTCAAAACATCATGAATGAATACATAGCCTATGAAAGTTATGAAACTTTTAATTTTCAAACCTTTACATCCCCTTCCATCTGATGAGAACTTTCTGCCTATTTGAGAGATCAAAGTCTCCATGTTTCCATTGCTTAACAGGGAATGAATTTCACATTTATATAAACAGGATAGTAATATATTTTTCTTAGTGGTAACTTTCAAGAGATGTTGATAATTACAAACTTTTGAAGCCATGAGAAGAGGACTGTGATCATGTGTTCTTTTCCAGAACAGACAAGGCAGGGGTGAGGTAGTTGTTGGCTTTGTCAGGCAAGTGAGCAACCTGCAAGCACGAACATACCACCAGCTTTAAGTATTTGAGCTAGTGAGCGACGCGTACGAGGAGGCATTAAAACTTAGACACGGATAAAATTATTGATTTCGTACCAGCTCGTAGAGTTCTCTTCCTTGCTCAGCAACATATTCATAGCAGACCTGGAAACAGTATAGTTTTAACTTGGGTGGTCATGAGGAATGAACACTAATGCCAATGAAAGCAGAAGTTTCTACTCACATCAAAGCTTTTGTTTCTTGCTGTAGAGTCATGCAATGCTTTTACGCAGATGTCAGCAACATCAGCACAGCTGATGGCCTAAATGTTTAAATGGATGAGTAATGACTCCGCTTGATCGTCTATGTTAAGGAAAAGGCTGTTCGTCTTACCTGAGTTATCCTGTTTCCCTGGTCAAATATAAGAGCACGTTGGCCCCCGGGTTCTTCCTGTAAGAACAAATTTTTGGTTACATTACTGCAACACGACCGAGTAGCTTGGATAAATGGTTGGAATATAATTTAACTAAAGATAACACACACCACTGTGGGAACAATACCAAAGAGGAATGTCATTGAATATGATCCAAAGTGTTGGTTCTCCCAAGTGAAGTGTTCATTTTTTTTTACTTTCATAAGGATTTTAACCTTCGAGTGGAGGAGGTAAAAGGCAGAGAAGGACAACCACCAAATGAAAAAAGGAATCCGACTCGACCTCAGACTCTTTCTTCCTGACCTATTTGACCCTCTGGCTACTGTTATGTAGGTGGTATCCCGAGATCGAATTCCTCCCGGGAAGTAAACAAGAAGCCCCTCAAAACGTCACGGGTCAAAAACCTAAAGTCCCTTCTCCCAAGTCACATGCATATCAACATGGTCATAAACTATACAATCTTCAAATATTCATCATTCAGGGCTATTAACTTCAAAACTTGAGGGAGGTTTGCATGGTTTATATTCTCACACAAAGAAATAGGAAACCTCTTATCTGTGGACTAACTCACTTCAAATAATCAATTTCAACACGATGCAAGAACTGTACCTTTAGAGGACCCGGGCGGATAATCGTGTACCCAAGGCCCGATCTTCGCAACGAATCTTCCCCAGCCTGAAGGCAAGACATTTTACACATTTATAAAGAACACTGAATTCTGAAATGGCAAAAGGAAACAAAATGAGAAAAAAGATATACCCTTTTTGCCTTGAGAACCTGCTCCCTTCTGGTTGGTTCTACACCAGATCCTGTACATGAAACCAAGATGAAGTCTGTCTCTTGCCCAGTCTGTAAAATACACATTTGATGTTATCAAAGCAATATCGGAGTTCAAAGCTTTTATGTATAATGTAAAAACATCCAAAATAACTCACAGGCAAGGCTTTTATGTATTCCAATACGAGTTCAAAGCTTCTCAAATCTTGCTGCTTTACGCCTGCTGCAGCAGGTCCTTCAGTAGGCCTCTGCAAAAAGGAACATGAAGTTAGTAGCCATTGGAGACATGTCTTCTATGAATAATAATCTAACGTTAGGTAACTTTGTGATCTTTTATTGTCTTATATAGTTTTCCATATTTGAAAAAAGTGACAAATTCATTGTGCTTTGAGTATGGTATGTTGCGGATGAATTATTGGTTTTCAAAGCGTGTCTGCTCGGGAAAGGTTTCCACACCCTTATAAAGAATGTTTCGTTTTCCTTCCCAATCGATGTGGGATCTCACAATCCACCCTCTTTCAGGGCCTAGCATCCTTGCTGGCACACCACTTCGTGTCCACCCTCCTTCGGGGCTCAGCCTCCTCACTGGCACATCGTTCGGTGTCTAGCTCTAATACTATTTGTAACAGCCCAAGCCCATCACTAGCAAATATTGTCCTCTTTGGGCTTTCCCTTTCGAGCTTCGCCTCAAGGTTTTTAACACATTTGCTAAGTAGAGGTTTCCACACCCTTATAAATAATGTTTCATTCTCCTCTCCAACTAACGTGGGATCTCACAAACCATCAATCATTTGAAAACACAAAAGAGTAGCAAACTATACTTGGCCAAAAATTATATATATAAATTAGAAATCAACTTAATGGTATTACTTGATCATCTAATACTCAGCTGACACACCAACCTGTCTTCTAGGCTCGAAACGAATGGTCAACGTATGCACAAGAAATGGATCGAGAGGTGGATCATCTGGTTTAACAGGGCGGAAGGACGAAAAAGGTATTCTGACCTGCAAATCATGGATGCAATCTTGTAAACTGTATTCTAAACACAGATATCAACAAATTTCTAGAAAATGGATTTGTTCAAGATGTTTGCACCAGTAGAATATTACATCACTTCGGTAAAGAGATTTCTTACCCGACAAAATCCAGCTTTCGTGCTAAATCTCGAGAAATATAGTTTACGTTGAGTTGTATCAGCTGAAGGACCAGCTTCAAGAATTAACACATAAGACCTTCCATTCCCACCAACTGAAAGAATGAGCCCCTCATATCTAGTAATGAAACGTAGAAAACGAAACGTGTTCGCAGTTAACACTGTTATTTAAATACAGAACTTTCGACTAAAAATTCAAATATGATAGAATGAGTAACCTGTCGAGGGTGGATCCCAATGGAAGGGAAAGTTTCGTTGACAACTCGACATATCCCCCCCTTGTAAAAACGTACCCTACAATAACAGTTGAAAACATTATACTCCTTTTTTTATCTTTTGGATTCAGCATAAATGAATTTTACCTGAGAAAATAGCCTCTCCAGTTTCAGTATATTCAAATTTTGCGTCCATGCCTCCATCATACTTAGAAGCAACAACATCTTGGAAGTAAGTTCCTTGGCGAACTTCCCAACCATTCAACGACTCTTCGGATTTGAACTTCGCAAGCAGAAGCTTACTTTTGCTGCTTTTTCCAGCACGAAGTTGTGCTAGCTCATTATTATAGTCCTACAATTTACACCAGGTATCAGTTTTTGCCAAGATTGCACAAAAAATCAAACATGGAAACACTTTTTCTCCATGATTCTTTCTCTGTTGATGTTCATAATTTAAAGTGGTTCGTTTTTGCACTGATTTGCACAAACAAGTAGTGTTAAAAAACTCGGCACAAATTCATGAATCCACAGTCGAATAGAGAAATTTCGTTATGATTTATGAATACAGAGAGGCAGACCTGAAATGCTTTGGTGATATTGTAAACTCCTTGATGATCAACCCTGAAGAGATCTGCTGTAATTGTGGAACGAGCAGTTGCACAGTAGATGATTTTATTGCAGCCCTCCACAGCAGCCTTAAGGGTATTAGCATCACCAACGTCTCCGACCACGATTTCCACCGATCTTGGAAGCACGTCTAGGATATCATCATCTGCCTTCCTTACTAGAGCCTGCTTGGCATAAGGATAAATTGATGGCTCAGTTAATATAATGAATTTATGAATCAAGTTGCATAAATAGCCCGTGCCTAGATTCAATTGGAATATTTAGTGGTCGTTCGAGCAAACGCTCGAGCATTAGATTTGACATCTACAAACATGATTACATCTGCTAGGAAGTCAGTTTTTCAGGATCCTAGAGATCTTAAACTACTGTCTCAAATGAATTCTTCTTCCAATCTCTTCCAATTGAATTCTTGAAGCACAAAAATGAAATCTTATCAAAATGTATGTTAACTCGCAAGCACATGTTGCAGCTCTCAAATTATCCCAGCTCCCCAACTCACCATAAGACATCAGCTATACTCAATGCAACAAGTTCCAACACATGTAACAGTCCAAGCCCACCGCTAGCAGATATTGTCTTCTTTGAGCTTTTCTTTTCGGGCTTCCCCTTAAGGTTTTTAAAACGCGTCTGCTAGGGAGAGGTTTTCACACCCTTGTATAGGGTGTTTCATTCTCATCCCCAACCGATAAAACGCGTATGCTAGGGAGAGATTTTCACAACCTTATATAGGGTGTTTCGTTCTCCTCCCCAACCGATAAAATGCGTCTGCTAGGGAGAGATTTTCATACCCTTATAAAAGGTGTTTCATTCTCCTTCTCAACCAATGTGAGATCTCACAATCCAACCCCCTTCGGGACGTCATCGCTGACACTCATTCCTTTCTCCAACCGATGTGGGGTCCCCCCACCAAATCCACCCCCTTCGGAGCCCAACGTCCTTGCTGACACATCGTCTCATGTCCACCCCCTTCAGGGTTTAGCCTCCTTGCTGGTACATCCCCGGTGTCTGACTCTAATACCATTTGTAATGGTCCAAGCCCACCACTATCAAATATTGTCCTCTTTGGGTTTTCCCTTTCAGGCTTCCTCTTAAGGTTTTTAAAACGCGTCTACTAGGAGAGGTTTTCACACCCTTATAAAAAGTGTTTCGTTCTCCCCCAACCAACGTAGCATCTCACACTTCAACACTAAAAGGCAGGTAAAGACAAGAGCAGACAAAGCAACTGATATAAAGAAACAAAACAATTAGCAAACGAAATAAAACCTTGACACTGTAGCCACGCAGCATAAGTTTACGAACAACAATGCGGCCAATGCGGCTAGTTGCACCAACAACAAGCACAGTAGTATTCTGAGCTCCAGGAATAGCAAACTCACACATAGGCCCCTCCCTAATAAGCATAGCATCAAGAGCTTCCTTATCATCCATCCTTGTAGTCCTTGATATTTGCCCCAACCCAGAAAACTTCCGCCACACTTCATCAAACAGTTGGCGGGACTTCCGCCCCAACCCCACTGGATTCACATCATCCAACGAAATCTTCGGCTGCGGCGGCTGTGGCGGCAGTTGCTGTTGAAACCCTTCACTGGAATCCACAATCTCCTCCACTTTCTCTTCATCAGCTGCCACCGCAGCTTTCTTCGATTTAGGTTTCTTCTTCCCCTTATTGCCGGTATTCGCAGCAGCCCTCGTAATCAATGATCGGCAATGGCTTCGATTGCCACTCCGAAAAGAACTAGAAAAGAAAACAGTTCTGTATAGATCTGAAGAGGGTCTCAACCTATGGGCTGCGGAACCGCTCAAATTCGCATAAGATATCGTCGCGGCAGTTGCCTCCATAGCCATTGAACTCCGATGCAACGGTCACTACAAAAATTGTTTGAACGGAAAATGAGGGTTTGTAGAAAAACGACTTAAGGGAGAGATTTGATCACCAATGGATCGTTTGAACTTTGGATTGGAAAATGATAGCAACCCATTTGATTTCTTGCCCATAGAAAAAAGAAGCACAGAAAAAGGCATGGAAAAGAAACTAGAAGCTGAGAAGGGACTGTTTGTGGCTCTGAATTTTCCTAACCACACAAAGAAGATGAGGGAATTTGGAGCCATTTTGACAAGCCTTGTCACAGGACCGCCACGTAAAGGCCTTCTCTTCCTCTATATATCAAGATTCAAGGCGCGTTGTTCAGAAAATCTTGCTTTTGGCAATGCCTTTGTACGATGTTTGTGGTGTGAGATGATGGGTTTCCTCTATTTTGGCTGCAGTGGTTTACAGAGGAAGTATGGAATTTTTACTATGGTTCTAAAGGTAATGAAAGAAGTTTCCAACCTTTTGTTGAGATGTGGATGTGATGATGAATTCAATTCATCATGTGACTATAAAGTTGATTGTAAAGGTAGCATGGTAGTTTTTTTTAGGTTAAAATATTTAAATTTTTGATCTTTGTGGTTGTTGTAAAAGTTAGACTCGAAAATGGACATGTTTGATCCATATGTTGAACTTTTAAAATGGACATGTTTGATCCATATGTTGAACTTTTAAAGTAGAGTTGGAAGAAAGCAATTGAAAAAGTTGGGTATAAGAAAAGATTTTCACACTCTTATGAGAAATGATTTGTTTTTTTCTCTAAGTGACGTAGAATCATGTTTTGTTCTCTTCTTCAATCAAGGTGGGATCTCACTATCTATCCTTTTAAGGGCCAGCGTTTTCGCTAGCACATCGCTTGGTGTCTAGGATCTCACAATCTGCCATTAGGGGGCTAATTTCATTCTCCTCTCCAATCAATGTGGGATCTCACAATCCACCCCTTGGGGGCTAGCGTCCTTGTTGGCACATTGTTGGGTGTTTAAGACATCACAATCCACCTGCTCGAGGGGTCAGCATCCTCTCTGGCACACCACTCAATGTTTGAGATTTCACAATCTACCACTCGTGGCCAGCATCCTCACAGGTATGCCGCTTGTTGTTGTTACAGTCCAAGCTCACCTCTAACAGATATTGTCATATTTGGCATGTTATGTATCGCCATCAGTCTCACGAATTTTAAACGTGTATGTCAGAAAGAGGTTTCCATACTCTTATAAAAAATGTTTCATTCTCCTCTCTTTTCTCTAATCAGTGATCTCCCGATCAAATAATTCAATAGAGTGAAAAGCACAAAAGAAAATGGTCCCCATCTCTTCCAACAAAAAAAAAAAAAAAATGAACAAGTTCGGATATTGAAACCCCTTTTACTTCAAAGGTCCCAACTCGGCCTTTTCTCTCTTTTTTTTTGCTTGGAAGATCAAATATTTCACTGATTCAGAAAACGCCACCGACTTTCCACCAACAGAGGGAAGTGGGTCGCTAGCATAGTGAAGGCTCCTTTATTGCATTATTTAATCTTCTTGTTTAACTTTTGTGGCTTCGACTTTTATGACTTGAAACCACCGCCATTGCAAAGCGGAAAGCAAAAATATTGAACTTCTCATTCACTTTCCTGCACCCCTTGATAATTCCTCCCTTTTTTGCTCAGCCCTGCTTTTCGCTGAACACCCATCACATCAGTTGAGTTTTAGAGGCTCTCATTTGGGTTTTTCTTGCAAATGCTTTCTGCTCATGCCTTACTGTCGAAACATTCTTTGATTAGGTTCACTTGTTTTCATTATGCTTGTAATAGGCTGCTTTTTTTTTTTTTTTTTCCTGAAAATGACTTGTAACTGTGCCTTCATGAGGGGTTATTTTCTTTTCATATTCATTGCATTATATCGTCTCTTCACAGGCATCTATGGCTTTTGGCTCTCGATTCTGATTGTTTGCAAGGTTATTTTATGATATGGGTAATGTAGAATCTATATTTTGGGTAAGTGTGGGTCTTGTGATGCTTATTTTGGCACGAGTTTCTTTGTTGATACTTTAGATTTTGGGTTTTTTAGTGTGAAGGCCACTGAACCTCATGAGCTTGAAATGTCGGATTCAGTTGCTCAGACTGGACTTCGTTTGTAAGAGGACACTTTCCTTTGGGTTCTTCTGTTCTTCATTTCTTCTGTTATCTGCAGAGCTCAGTGGTGTGTTTCCTTCTTAATGCTTTTCTTTGTTTATTGTCATTGTGATGCCCAGATGTGATGATCCCCACTTTGGATACTGTTCTAATTTAGGGAATGTTGTTGAGCTTGGTTTTGCTGACTCTTTTCTAGAGGTAAGATGTTATGGAGATGGTTTTCTGTAACGGAGTATGTGAGATCCTATATCGGGTGGAAAGGGGAACATTGCTTAATAGGGTGTGGAAACCTCTCCCTAGTAGACACATTTTAAAACCTTGAGGGAAAGTCCGGAAGGGAAAACCCAAAGAGGACAATATCTACTAACGGTGGGTTTGGACTGTTACAAATGGTATCAAAGTCAGGTACCAGACGGTGTGCCAGCGAGGATGCTGGCTCCTAATGGGGTGAATTGTGAGATGTCATATTGGTTGGAGAGGGGAACGAAACATTGCTTATAAGGGTGTGAAAACTTCTCCCTAGTAGATGCGTTTTAAAATCTTGAGGGAAAACCTGGAAGGGAAAGCCCAAAGAGGAAAATATCTACTAGCGGTGGGTTTAAGTGGTTACAAATGGTATCCGAGCCAGATATCGGGCGGTGTGCCAGCGATGACGCTGGGCCTCGAAGGGGATGGATTGTGAGATCCCACATCGGTTGGAGAGGGGAAGGAAATATTTCTTATAAGAGTGTGGAAGCCTCTCCCTAGTAGATGCGTTTTAAAACCTTGAGGGAAAACTTGAAAGGGAAAGCTCACAGAGGACAATATCTACCAGCGGTGGGCTTGAGCAGTTACAAATGGTATCCGAGCCAGATATTGGGCGGTGTGCTAGCGACGACGCTGGGCCTCGAAGGGGGTGGATTGTGAGATCCCACATCGGTTGGAGAGGGGAAGGAAACATTTCTTATAAAAGTGTGGAAACCTCTCTCTAGTAGACACGTTTTAAAACCTTGAGGGAAAGTCCAAAGATGACAATATCTACTAACGATGAGCTTGGACTGTTACAAAGTAGAAAGAAAATGAGGGAAAATATATATAACGTGCGGGCGTATGTGCAGTTTCCTTATTGAAACCTTAACCTCCAGAGTGATTTGCAACATATTCTCCTGTTTAACGTTAATTCCAAACTTTAACTTGACGCAAGAACTGACTTAAAATGAAAAGATAATGATCCCTACGAACAGAAGAACACTTAAACACAATTGTCATTAACCATTATTTCTGAGTTTTGTTTGATGTAGCAGAGCACTGTTGCCATAATGGCTAGTACTGCTGGATTATTGGAGAAAGATGATGGTTCTTTTCCCTACAGATTTCAGCTCGAACAAGACGTAAGTGTCTGGCTGTTTATGGACGTTTCGTTACTGCACAATAAAATATTATCTTAGATACTTTACTTTTACGCTTCGGAAAATCCTGTCATCCGCTTTGTTCTTTAAGATCAATGGCTCCATTGACATATTAGGTATTGAACTTAGTTATTTTGGGTTGATTGTGAGGTTAAGAATACTATTTTGTAGGTGAGAAGGTTACAACAAAAGTTGCAAGAAGAGATGGAGCTGCACATTTCCCTTGAAGATGCTATTCAAAAGAAGGATCTAACATTAGCCAACTTCTCATGCCTCCCTCATCATGTATGTTGCTTGTAACTGCGCAGTTTATGGATTATCGAGTTTGGTCGTTATGCTTTGAAATATGAGTAGTCTCATTTTCCAATAATGATGAGAAATAAGGAGAGACGACATGACTCAGGTTATGTTCTTCGCATTAAAATTTATGCAGGCTCAAGATCTTTTGTCTAGCATTGCAGTATTGGAAGATGCAGTCGTACGACTCGAGCAAGAGACAGTCTCTTTACATTTCCAACTTAGTCAAGAAAAGAACGAAAGGAGGCTTGCAGAATATCGTTTAATGCATTCATCGCCTTGTTCAATATCTGATTGCTCCAATTCAGACATGAAGAAACCTGTATGTCATCACATTGGTTTTTATCTTAATGTAAATATTATTTTATATTCCTGAAGACTTGAAACTTTACTTTTTTGTCGATTTTCACTCGCATTTAGATAGGAAATATGTAATGGCTCAAGCCCACTGCTAGCAGATATTGTTCTATTTGGGTTTCCCCTCAAAGTTTTTAAAATGTGTCTGCTAGTGAGAGGTTTCCACACCCTTATAAATGATGCTTTGTTCTCCTCTCAACCGATGTGGTATCTCACAATCCATCCCCCTTCGAGGCCCAACGCCCTCGTTGGCACTTGTTCCCTTCTCTAATTGATGTGGGACCCCCCAATCCATCTCCTTTCAGGGCCCAACGTCCTTGCTGGCACACCGCCTCATGTTCACCTCCCTTTGGGGCTCAACCTCCTCGCTGGCACATCGCCCGGTGCCTAGTTCTGATACCATTTGTAACGCTCCAAGCCCACCACTAGCAGATATTGTCCTCTTTAGGCTTTCCCTTTCGGATTTTCCCTCAAGGTTTTTAAAACGCGTCAGTTAGTGAGAGGTTTCTACACCCTTATAAAAGATGGTTCGTTCTCCTCTCCAAACCGATGTGGGATCTTTGTGATAATTAGTTTGGTTAATATTCCTGTTTTGAGTTCATTCGCTTTCCATTCTCCAGAATATATATGTAACCTTGTTAGAATTTTATAGACCTTGTCAACTGTAAAGAAAAATGTTTCTTAATTCGTCGTCGTTGCTCGAAAGCATAATCATGTAGCTAAGTTGTTGCTTCCGGTCTAGTCCAGCTCCTCCCTGCAGTTGGTTTTTCGTGTCGTATAACTTGATTTGAGTGATGTGTACTGTCTTTCAGAATTTATGGGAAGAAATTGAAGTTGGCCTAGTTACGTGCTGTGAGAAAACGTCTGTGACAGAGGTCAATGAACGTTCCCAATCAGTAGAATGTGAGAAAATGTCTCGAGGGCCACTGTCAAGTGGCCTCTGGCATCACCCTAATATCTTATCAGAAGAAATGGTCAGATGTATGAAAAACATATTCATCTCTCTAGCAGATTCCCCCGTGCCATCCAAGTCATCAACATCGGAAAGCCACTCGCCTGCATCACCCCAAGGACATCTCTCCAGTTCATCATGGTGGTCATCATCCGAACGATCCATTATTTCATCGAGAGTACAAAGTCCACAGATTGACCTTCAAAGTAGCTCTGAAGTATTGGCCACACAGAATACCTCTGATCCATACAGTGTGCGTGGAAAATTAAGCTGGTCTGACATTGGAAACTATTCACAAGCAGC